GTTTATGCTAACAGCAACATGAATACAAATACTCCGTCAGCGCTCCGCCCCGCTGCACTCCAGACCGCCTGCGCAAAGCAAAGCCTACAGCCTCCGCTGTGGCTCCCGTCCGCTCCGCTCTGAGTTCCTTGGAGATCGTAGAGAGCATGCGCCAGATGATTAAATTCAAAGCAGCAAAACATGCGGAAATGATCCAGGGTTTCCGCGGATCATTAAAAATAATTACAATTCATCAATTTTTTTGGATTTTTTTCATTAATTTCATTAATTTTTATGGGATTTCATTGTAACAATCAACATATCCCGAACCGAAAACCGTGATCACGAGACCGTGAACCGAACCGAACCCTGGATTTTTGTGAACCATTCCACCTCTACTTTGTATACGACCATATTTACGTATGCAGAAAGGAATTTAAAACAATTTGAATCGGGAAAGCTTGCGTTCGTTTTGGATCTTCTCCGTTTCAAAGTAAAGGAGAAGGTGGAAGGAGGGAAATCGTCAAAGCCTGTCCGTTAAATGTGTACTGCCAGTAATCGAGTTGAGGGATGATGACATCCTCCTTTTTAAAAAAAATTTATAAATCATCCCCCTTCTTAAATGACCATCCCCTGTGACATTTTATCACTGAATGTGTAAAATTTCTGTTATATATTAACAGTAATGGCAATAATATTGCCCTTTCAACATTTGGCGGGCTGTAGGCTTAGGAAGAGCCTGAACAAAATAAATAAAATGAAAGATGTCTCCTACCATGACTATGAAGCTGATCCCAGTGGGAATTTATTCCTAACTATTTAGTGGCAGTGATAGCCATGCCAGTCCAGGGACTGACTGCAGTTCTCCTGAAAGCTGCCTCGGTCAAGATCAATGACCGGCGTACCTGACACTGAACAACCATTCCATGCATATTGCTTTAGGTTGATAGACTATATTAATTAGGCTGGTATGCTTCTGAAAACAAACAAAAAATTCCACCATTCCAATTCTTTTTCTACTGTGTACAACATAATTAAAATCCCTCCCAGCACAACTAAGGCTGCCATTCTTACCAATAGCATAAGTAAAGGTATTCTATGTTGAAATATATATATAATGGATAATTAATACTATGGATAATGAGCAAAGTTTGAGTTGTAGACGCCCTGCCACTGTTTAAAAAGGCTGAACAATAACTCATGAATGAAGCGTCTTCACATCAGTGTGTGTAATGTTCTTAGGCTCATTCATCCCAGGTGTTATTTTTCATGCTAATAAAATATTCAGGCGGTTGGACGGTCTCATAGCAGCAGATGCTCACTCTGAGCTCTAGCGGTTTCTCCCGCCAGCTGCTGCTGCCCTATGAGTTCATCCGCCTCGGAAAGTCGGAATATTCCTACGCATTCCCGTTCAGACATGCTCTCATGCAGACGCTGCACTCTACCACAGTTCTACAGAAAAACACTATTTGAGAAAGACGTTCATTGAATCACTCGTATCTGCTCTGATTGCCTGATTTCATAACTTTGTAACGTTTGTGTGGAAAACCCTTCTGATGTCTCATTCAGTTTATTGCTTTAAAAGGCAGCAGGACTGGAGAATGATCTCAGGCTTCAGTATTAACATAAAACAAATAAGGCAAAAGTCTGTAGCATGATGGAAATTCTTTTGTTTTAACCCTTTTTTAGGTCCAGTTACCTTTTTTGATTACTTGCATACCCCTTACAAATGGAGCCCCCCCCCCCAAAATATACTCTTACATTGCTGTACATCTTATTTTGGCTTTTGACCCATTAGATGAGCCCTTGAATGACATATTAGTCATATAATATTTAACAAGTCAACGAAAAAATTTAAAAAGTTAATAAGCCTAGTTAACAATTATATTTAGGTTTATAAACTATAAAATTTAAGTGCCAGTATCAGCATTAAAGGGACACTATGCAACATTTTTCAGTTAATTAATGTGTTCCATAACGTTATGGATGATTAAATGAGTCATTTCAGGTTGAACAAAGCTATTCTCGGCCGTCCTGGTGGTCTGTGGGGGAAATACTGCAATTGCAATTGCAGGAGCACCGACCCGCACCCACAGGCTCAGAAGTCTCGTGAGAGTCAGTCTTGCTTTACGGCGAGAACTGCTACACCCCCCAGTTAAAAGCATTCTCGTTGCTAGCACAGTGGCAATCTTTGTGCAGTTATGCTACGTTCACGCAGCAAAAGCAGCAAAATCGTGTCTGCTGCTTCCTTTTTGCTGCTTGTACCAGTTAGTTCTGACCCGTGGCTGAAGCAGCTTTGCTTGTGCGGTGCAAAAGTGTGTCTGAGGCGCGTTGGGCGGAGCTTCACTATCCTTTCTCTGCCTTGCAGCTATATTTGCTGTGATCAGTGGGAATAAAGTAGTTTTAATATGTGTTAAGTGAGAAAATACACCTGAAAACTTAATCAGTGCAGTCAGTTCATTCAGATTATTATCCTGCCTTCAATATTTTTTCTGTCGGAGCCGCTCAGACCCCCACATACCAGGGATGCGCCGACAGTATGGATCCCTTCATCAGCAGCGGTTCACCGCGGCAGCTGGTAGGTGTTTTTCATCTAAATAATCCAAACTGCTTATTCTGCCGGCAGATTTCTGCATTTTAAGTTAATTTAGGCGTCAATAAACTGTTTAAAAGGAGTGATCATCAGCGCTGTGTCTCTCTCCCCGACGCGCTGCTTCAGGTGCTCAGACGTGCTGCGCCTGCTGCACGTCTGAGCAGCTGGCGCAGCACCGCACCGTGGGACCTTTTGCTGCGCCTTGACGCGCGTCAACCATTGACTTTGCATGTAAACTCGCTGCTTTTGTCGCGCCAGCTACGTCCAGTGTGAACGCAGCATTAGTCATTCGCTGCTAAGCTCAAAACAACCGCGCCTGGCTTGACGGAGAAACCAGGAGAACAGCTGAGCATATTTACGACAGTGCACTTTTACTTTCGCCCTCTGGAGGGAGCCTCGCTGGAAAATCAACACCGGTTGCATAGTGTACCTTTAATACATTTGGTCAAGTTGCCGTTTTTCTGTTATTACATTGACATACTTTTTTGCCATCAAAATATCCATATTTTTTTTAATGTTACAAAGGTAATAAGGTCTTATCCTGGATTCCAATAACACTACTGGCCTGAAATTTAGATTTTCAACTTTTTCAGTGGGTGCCCTATAAATGGTTAAAGAATTAATTACAAATATAGTCTGACATTATGGAGGATAAAAAGTGCCAAAATTAAATAAATATATACAGCATTAAATAAATAATTAAATGTGTCAATAATTAATTAAATGTGGAATTAAATAAATAAATGTGTCATTCATTAATTAAAACCACATCACTAATATAAAGTGCCACAATTAAATAATACGTTTTCATTTTATTAAAAAAATATATATAATTATTTCAGTGTGCATTTAATTATTTATTTAATGCTGTATTTATTTATTTAATTTTGGCACTTTTTATCCTCCATATGACATAAATCAATTTTTTCTTTGGATCAACTCATGCATGGCTCTTTAAGTTTTAAACTGTGCTTATTTAGGTTCCATATGGGGACTGCAGCAACAGGTAGGGGTGGGGCGTAGCTGGCAGCTTGTACAGGCTTCTATTGGGTCCTGTGTGCGGGTTAGGAGCAGCATGGTGTGTGTGAACTTTAATTGAACGAAGATGTTTGACCTTCTGATCTCTCTTCAGTCTGAAGGCCTCTCCTCTAGCTCCCTGCTGAAGAGTTCCCGTTCCACCGTACGTCGCTTTCATCTTTTCCTTTCTACTGTCATCATTTATTGTTTTATACATTTTCTTTACTTCTATAATCCTTTTTTTTTTCTTTTTTCCTACCTCTTCATCTGTCTAACAGAGCTCTGTGTACAATGACCTGCGTGGCCATAAAAAGGCTTCCTCCTCCTCTTCCTCCAAGAAAGGGCTGTTGGTTAGTTTGCTGCAGACCTCAGTGATCATTGCTTAATGCAATTTAGGATTATTTGGAATAAAAACAGTCTGACACTGGAGGACAGCATTTGTAACCAGCTGCTTGTTTGAGGTTATGTTATTCGATTGCTCTCTTAGACTGGACTGTACCACGATCAGAGGAACTACTCCAGCCTCACGAAGACCAAACCACTACCGGCCCTGTCCTCCACTTCCAGCTATCAGCCCCGGGTTGGTTTCTCTGTCTGTGGAAGTCATCCTAACGGAACCAGCTGTACATCCATTTACCTAGTTATAGGGCTTCACCTAGCAGTTATTTAGCAATCTATAAACCTATCATATCTTAATTTTTTTCCATTAAGCTAAAAAG